TTATGACAGCATGTTTGCACTGAAGCACCGCAGCAATTTCCTAATGTTGTAAACCTGCTCAACATTTGGCAATAAAACCCTTTCTGATTCTGATTCTGATTTTGTACCATTCTCTGTAAACCCACGAGTTGGTTATGAGGGAACATTCCAGTAGATGAGCAGTTTCTGAAAAACTCAGACCACCCTGTCTGGCATCAACAACCATGCCACATTCAAAGGCACTTAGATCACCCTGCTTCCCCATTCTTATTCGCCTTGACCACGTCTACATGCCTGAATCCATTGAGTTGCTGCCATTTGATTGGACGATCAGATATTTGCATTAACAAGCGGTTGAATATATGTACCTAATAAAGTGGCCGGTGAGTGTATATGTATTATTTGGGTCAAATTCTGCAAAATAATATGTTTCTGGAGAGAGAAGCAGAGCACGGAGTGGAAAAAGAGGTCGATGAAAGCAATAAAACATCAGATGCGGTAGAAAAGCAGAGAAGAGAAAAGAAGCGGGGTCAGATCCAGAAGATAAAAAAAGATGGAATGAGCTCTTTATCCCGCTGGCCTGCTTAACCCTCTAGCAGAGCGTAAAATAAACACACTCAGTCACTCAAACTCAGCTAAACCAGGTTGCAGCAGATCACCTGCTCTGACATGATGAGCTGTGACAGCAGCTAGCGCGATAACAAGGTTCCATTTACAGTGTAAAGAGGCTGCAGCGAGATGCCAAAGTGACAGATAAGGGAATTGATACACAGACCACATGGCTCATGTAAATCATGATCTTTTGTAGATATGAAGGCAAACGTATACGGACGCCAGACATAATCCTGGTGTGAAAAGCTTGTTTCTAAGAAGCTGTTTGCAGGAGCGCGGCATGTCGATCGCTAGAAAAACATGTTGATCGAATGAGTCCTGGACCACTTGTAGCTCTGGTGTGCTATGTGTGTTGAAACGTTGTGTTTCTCAATTAAATTGAAGCTTTAGATAATGTGTGCGTGTGTGTGGCCTGGTACGTGCACATGTGTGTATTTCCAATCAATATGCCTCAAGGCAGTCCATCTTTGAGTCATCTGAAGTTCTTGGAAGATGATGACAAGGTGCTGGGAACACACACATACAGATACAAACGCACAAACACGCACACACTTCTCATCCTTATTGGAAAAACCAAATCCTGTGTCAGGAGAATGAGCTTGTGCTCTGACTTAAGGTACAAACAAGTCTCTCGAATTCTTCACTTAATGGATCTTCCTGTAATTTTTGGTTATTTCTTTGTGTTATCACAGCAGGGTACTCGGTGAACTGAGCCTAAGTCTTGGTGCAAACATATCACAGTAGCTATCTTTGGCATTTATGCACTCCAGTTTCATGTTACTCATCAGATCCTGTTATGTCTGTGATAACATCAACAGAAATATGTCCCAGTGGACTTTATTGTTTGCCTTTAGTTACAACTGGAAGTCCCAGAAATTGCACTGGTAGGTTTAGTTAAAGCAATACGAAACAATTACATTCAAATAAACTGCTTTACTTATTTACTTTTTGTGAGTGTTTTTAAAAGACAAAAAGGGGATTGTTGATTAGAGAAATTATTTAAAAACCCAACATTGCACTCTGGTATCCAGCCATCCATTTTTTTATGGTTATCCAATTCATTATTCACATTTCATTTATTAGATGTTATAAATGCCAGTACCATCGAATATCATCAAATAGTTAATATAGGCTTAGAACCTAAAAAAACCCAACTGGGTTCTGTTGGGGGTCCCTGATATTTAGATAATGCTAACATGTTGGTGCAGAAAACAGTGTCAACTTAAAGTCTTAGATTCACTGTGATGGTGTGTTAACCTTAAAGGATAAAGTTTAGCATGTACCCTTCATCTCATGAGGGTCTTTAATGCACTGTGTTGTATGTGTGCTGGAATAATCAGGAAAACTTTGGAAATGGGAGCATCTGAAGAGCATGTGAATGTACAAGCTTTAGCTAATGTTATGGCTCTTCATCCAACAGCTGTTGAGATATTTCACTTAAACGTTGCTGTGATATTTTAACCTGAGGAAACTGACAAATTAAACAGTGGACTAACATTAAAATCACTGGAATATCAGGGCTAAAAATGTTGACGGCAGTCTCAAGAACAGCAGATTTCTAGCTTTCATTTTCTGTCTCTCTGTGACTTCGGGTCAGTTTTGAGAGGGATGATTATCTGTACATAGATGACTAATGCGAGTTTCTTTGTGTAATGCAACTGAATGAATCATACATGTGTTAGTACAGTAAGGCTCCTGTATTTGGGACATGTATTTTTAACATGGAAAAAACAGGATGAGCCTGAAATTAATTTTTTCTTCTTCTTTTCTTAAAAGGCACATTTTTGTGAACAAATAGAAAAGCAGGATTCAAGAATTCAGTTTATCCAGATGTTTACATAGATCTCTTTCAGTGTTGTCTTTCCATTTTGTTTTTCCTCATCTTTTGTGGCATTATCTTTTCTGCGTAAGGTTACAGAGCTGGAAAGCGGAGCAAAACACTAATTTACTGAACATCACTGAAGGCAAAGTGTATCAGAAAGTATTTAACATGCATTAAGAAACCGTTCTAATCTTCAGCAGGCACGCTTGTTCAACGCAGAGGGCTGGAGTGACTCATTTTTGTGAAGTTGTGACAAACGTGACTTGAGTATGGGCATGCAGTTTGGAAAGAAAATGCATCCACATCTCAAGCTATTGATGCAGCAGCTGCCATGGCAACGGGCCCTTGAATAAAGGCTATGTGGATTATTATGGGGTGAATCACACACAACGCCAGGCCGGTGTCCTTAAATTAACACACTCTCTTTAAATGCACACGTGCATAGATTACATGTGGTCAGTGTTTGTAAACACGTCTCCAGTCATCCATCCACAAGTGCTTTTGCCATGTGTATTAACACTATAATAACACCATATTCCGCTCAGCAGTTTTCTCCCAGGAATTAGTCGGAGCCAGCCATTATACAATATGCATTTTCAAATTAAATATGTAATCAGACTTCTTCACCAGGAACTAGGATTATCTGAGTTTTTTTAGACAAGCTGAGAAGGTAAATTATTGATGCCTTCCTCAGTTGATTATGCGGATTTCTATGCTACATTTTCCACTCGAGACTCGTCCACTGGCGGGTTTCATTAGAACCCCTGCAAGGACACAGAAGTGGTTTTGCTCAGCTCTCCCCGCACGGTTCCGGGTGACTCTGATTTGCCTTTCTTTAAGCTGTGGAAGCACAAACTGGCTTATCCACAGCCTTTCAGGTCGATCTGGCTGTCGTCTCCTATGTGAGATATCATGCCGTTTTTGGTGCCCTGAAGGGCTGTGAGGAGGGGTCAGGGAGGAGGATTACAGGTTCAGTGTTAGCGTAGGGGTAATTGCATGAAAGTGGAGTGAGTGTTGACGTCTTTTGCCTTTGCTTTGTTTATGAACAAGAGTTCACATGGTTGCTTGTACAGATTCAAGGTATAATTGTTAAATTCAGTTACGTTGTGACCCATCCCCAAGCCAAGTACTAACATCCATCTTCTTTAATCTGTGCTTCATCGTTTTTCTGCTTTCCTTTTGCAGATCAACTTTTTTTTGTTTTAGCTTTTTTTAATCTGCAGCTAATCAAGTCTTTTTATCCATCCAAGCTAAGATATCTGGGTCATGTCACTTAAGTAGTTTACTCAGACTTGACAGAGCTCACTCAGAATAACAGAAGACATTGCTCAGATCTTTTTAAGGTTGTTTTATGCGCCCCATAATGAGTAAACTGACCTTTTATATGCTAAATTGAAGGGATACCCCTTGAAGCAAGTGCTACTGCACAGGGCTGTGGAAGAAGCTCTGCACTACTAACGTGTTTAACCGCTTGCTTTTGACTCTTATGTTCATGCTAATGTGGTTTAATGTGGCAGTTGCATCCTCTCTCCAAAGCAACAGGAACTATTATGTGAAAATGTCCAAAGGGACTTTCAAACTGAACTGTTCCACTGCTTGAGTCACAGGAAGATGCTGCTGAGTGGTTTATGGTTTTTCTGCTGGACAAAAATGTCTGAATTGAGAATAGAACCAAGAGTAGCAGTTGAATTTTGACTCGAACACCAGTGAACAATTTGAATATATCCAGATGTGTGGACTTTTTGTCTTCCCTTTTGGCAGTGGGAGTAAATGCACTTAGTTGCTCTAACGTCCTTCTGAATTCTTGTACAGAAAGTAACTGCAGTAACCACATTTAAAACTCCCGTTTTGCAAAATACAGAGAGATTTACGTGGCTGTGATAGGCTTAATCAGCATTGTATGAGCTTGTTTGGCAAGGGCTCGAATTTATTGGATGGTTATTTATATGTAAATGTACCACACTCCAACTTTAAATTGGTCTACCCCTGGAAAAATTGATCTCAGAGGACAAATAAAAAGTCTGCCTGCCTTAGTTTGCATAAGCGATAGAAGTTTAACTGCATTCACGTATGACTTTCAGTGCCAGTATTTGCAGGAATAAGCATGCAGAGCATAGTTCTTAACTGAAGAGCCTGTCCTAGCTGTGGGCTAATGAACAGCATGCAGTGTATTTGTGGTTTTTAAACTGGTACTGATGCTAAACCCCCCGCTGTTGTTGGCCAGCCTTACCTGAGATGATTTCTTGGTACGAAATAAAAAGAGCCAGAGTGTTTACTTTCTTGTGGGTGCACAAATTATAGTAAATTGATGTAAGTAGGTCAGTTGACTAACTTCCTCTAAAAATTTAAATGCTATATGAAAGTGATCTTATTGGTTTTAGCAGTTCACTAGCTTCTCCTGAAGATGAGTTTCATTTGCTTGCGCTCACCCCCCCCACCCCCAGAGCGCTGTGTCTTATTTTTCAGCGCTGTCCTTGTTGGCCTTAAAATAGTCTTTGAATTTCAACAACTCTAACACAAGCAAACATCAGTGACTAATGTGCCTCATTTTCTGCTTCTTTTTGTTCCCCTTCACTCTACCCTACAGGTTTGGATGAGCCATCTTCAGCAGTACTGACAGAGGTGTGAGGCAGTGAGGCTCTCACCCCCACCCTGGGAGCCATGCCGCCGCCGGCAGATATTGTCAAGGTGGCCATTGAGTGGCCGGGGGCATTCCCCAAGCTCATGGAGATAGACCAGGTATGTGCCTCAGTGCAACAAAAGACACCGTCATCTCACCTGCAGACATTACTGTCCTTTAAATCCAGCACAACCAGTAAAAAATGTTTGGGGTCTGTGACGCTCACCGTGCAGATTTAAAAACCATAATCACAGTGCGTGTTTTGTATGAACACATTATTGCGCAGTAATCCGTTGCTGTGTATATAATGAAATCGCTTGGATGTTTGTAGGTGTCTCTCTCTGGAGCGGCTGGGCGGATGTGCTCAGGGCTTGGTGCAGCTTTTGCGTTGTTCCCATCAATTATACTAATTAGCCTCAAGGATGTGGCCTTGATTAAAGATGTTTAACAGTTAGTCACAGCTTTGACATAGCTTTAAAGAAATTTCACTGAATGCAAAGAGGCTGGCTCTGTCATTAAGAAAAGTGACAAAAAATATGGATGTTTGTGGGTAAATACCTGGGCTGTTTAGCTCACTGTCAGAGCAAAAAGTATTCATATGACTGGAGGTGAGATTTGGTATAAAGCACAACACCATGTACAAAACAGGTGAGCAACCTTCTCACTCTTACATTGTCTGCTATGGAAAACAAACTCAGTTAAAGCTTTATGCATCTGTCACATTACAATATCAATGAATCTTAGTGATGCTGTTTTTTAAAATGTAAAACATAATGGTCACAGCTGTGGTCAGAGGCATTATGTGATATCTCTTGAACACCTTCAGGGAAATTTCAGTAGGTTTGGACAAAAGCTCAAAGGAATAATGGATTAACTTTGCCTGTCAAAGGTCAGGGTCTCTGTGACCTCCTGTTCTTTTGACTGTGATGTCTGAGGAACTCCTCGAGCGAGTTTCGCTTCATCTGACACAAATGTTCACTTAAAGTAATGGTCGTGGTCAAGGATCATTGTGATGTCACGCAGTTTGGGCCATTACCCAAGACGTTCAGCATCACAATGTTCTGTTTGTGGTGATTATTGCACTGTAACTCGGTAGCGTGAGGAGATCTTGCGACCCTCTTCGCCTTCTTTCGGTTTCTTCTTTTCACCATCACTCTCTTCCGCTATCTCACCCTACCCCTAGTGTCCTCTTCTTCCAGCCTCTGTATGAACTTTTTTGCTACATCCATGAATCTCCTCTGTGGTCTTCCTCTTTCTTCAATCTGCAGTGTTTTCACTATTAAATTTCTTCCAAGTCTTCACTTGATATATTGCATGCATCTGGACAAACACAGATCTAAACTGCAACTTGATTGGTTGGTGGAGCTCCACGACTGTAAGGAGGGTTTTATCGTTTGTTTTTTAAAAACTGTAACATTAAATAGCTGCAATGCTAAAGCGCTATGAAACCTCATCAGTGCATAGCTATATATTCCACTGATTTACATAATGCAGTTGCTACGTTTATGCTCAACAGTTAACAACACTGGTGTGTGCTTTTTAAAACTGAAACTGCACTTCTGTGTAGATTTGCGTCGCAGCTGCTTTCGCCTGCACGCAGCTCGCATCCATTACGAGCCCACAGATAATGGCCATGCCGTATGTCGGCAGATTGTCGGGGTCTATCCAGCGCTAGATTACATGCTAATAAAATAATTAGCCCAAACAGCAACTACCCCGTGTGTGTGTGGGGGGGACATTTTTGCTGTTACTTTGTTTGATTGCACATACAGTTTTATAAATTGGCCTGTTTGTTGTTTGTGTGACTCACAGATGGGCTAATGATTGTAAAAGCTATGAGTCACCGTGGTAACCGGAGTCACAACTGCCCTTCTCAATGGATGAACTAGTGAATGAAGTATTGAACTGTGAAGTACATGTGCTTCTGGTGCTTTAAACACTTAAGTAGAGATTTAGGGGGTGTGGTTTTTGTATTAAATGCCCCCCCCCTTATCAGCAGCGCTGTTCCAGTCTGAGTAGATTGCCTTTAGCTTTGCTTAGGTCTGTCTTTACTTCTTTAAGCCACCTCTCCTCCTCCTCCTCCTTTTATCTCTCCCTGTCATCTTCCTCTTGTTCCACCTCTGTGTTGCCTTCCTCCTCTTTGTCCTTCTTTGCTTTCGCTCTTGTTCGCTCCCCCCTCGCACTCCTCCTCCCCGTGTTTTGTTGTGACTGCGAAACTTGCGCGCGCTGTGCCTCTTCCTCTCTTGTCCTCCACCATCAACCCCCACCTCTTCCTCCTCCCTCTGCATCTCCTCTGTACAATAGGCCCTGCAGCAGCATATGGCTGTCTGACTCATGCGCCGGGGAGTGGGCTTCTGCAGCTCGAGCTGTTTTGATACCCAGAGAAAGTGTGTGTGTATGTGTGTGTACATGCCTGAAAACTTGTATGTGTAAATTTTGTTTACGCAGGTAAAATTCTGCTTATGTGAAAATGTGCGTGGGTGTGTTTGTGTGGCAACATGGATCGTTGTTACTGTTCATGCGTGTGCATGCTCATTTGCTGTGTGTGTGCATGCATGTGCCTGTATCCATGTGCATGCCGACAAATATGTGTATTTTTATTATTTCTGTCTGTTTGTATATGCGCCTCTGCAGTGCACGCGTGAGTGTGTTTAGGCTACATCTGCTTCGGTGTGTGTCTCTGTGATTTCTGTATCTCTCCAAACATCTTCAGGCACAGAAGTCCAACCTTTATGTAGGAATGCGGGGGAATCGCTACAAGTTTAGACAGTTGTTTTTAAGTGTTTTTAATTGCTTTTTGTTTATCAGAAAGGCAATAGAGAAACTGGGGGAGGATTGGGTGGTGGGGTTTCTGGTGGAGTAGAGGGATGAGAGGAATGTTTGCAGGTGGAAAGGGGCAAGAAACAAACTCTAAGACTAACAGCCCACTTAGTTTTAGGTAATGTGCTAAAATTGGTTTTATATTAGTGTCACTGCTGTGGTTAAAAGATAGAAAACTAAAAATAAAGGCATTTATTTATATTTTGGTGTGTGCTTGTGTGCACGCATCTAAGCACAGTGGTTAACAGAAGAAAAGTCCAGAGGGATGTATTAAACTGTTTCCTTGAGTGAAATAAGACTAAATACCTTCAGTGAATGTGCAAAAATGGCTAGCAGGTTCTAGCGGGTCATGCTTTATTGCATATAAATGATCTCGGAGGGGGGGAAAAAAAAAGAATAACCACCAAATGTGCTAAAGTGGAATAACTCCTTAGATAAACTATTGTGTGGTGTAACAGGAGCTGAAATCTAGTGGGTGGTATAGGATGTTATAGATAACAGCTTTGCTTTTCACCTTTGTACAAAGTGAATTCCGGTTATGTAGGTGCTACCCTTGAACTGTACTCCCGACTGGGCTTACAGTAAGTTAAACAAAGTGGCTCGTGTGGGTTGAAAGTAATAGTAAAGGAGAGGAAGATGTAGTGGGAGGTTGGACAGGGAAATGGTAGACGGGGAAACAGAGTCAGTTTAAAGCTTGGAGAACTGCTTGTATTTATAGGTACATAATAGGCAACATATAAAGTAGGGTCACTGGAAGCATCTCTGTGTTTCTCTCTTATTTCACATTAGCATGACTGGGTATAAAAAGAGTTTACCAGAGAGGATGATTCACTGAGAAGTTAACATGGGAAGGGTTTTACTACTCTGTCAAGAGCTGCCAAATAATTCAGCAATTTAACAATGAAGTTTTTAATCCTAAAGTTGCATCATCTGCAAAAACCGAATGATTCTGAGAGGCTGAAGAAATCTCTGTAAGCAAGGAAGTAATCAAAATCAGATTTGTTTTTTCTTTTTTAATCATGAATGCTCCATCCTCTGAGCTTCAGTTGCTGTCGTGGGAAAAATAACAAGCCAGCATCCACGATGGCTCCTTAGCGCGCAGCGGCTTGGACGACATGCAAACGTTGCACGTATGCAGGTTTTGGAGCAACATTTTCTAGGAAGGGTTTGCTTATTCCTGAAACGCCAAACCACATTCTGCTCGTGTTACTGCAGCATGATCTGTAATGAAAGAGGGACTCTCTGCAATCCATGTCTGTCAGCGTCACCACTGAAAATATTCACTTTCAGAGCTACAGCATCGGTCCCTTTTAGCTCCCAAATGCCTTCTGAGTGTTTTTTAAAAGAAGTGATGCAACACAGTGGAAAACATGCCTCTGGTTGAAACATGTAACTGGCACTAAATTCTAAGAGCATTTATTTTTCCCAAAAATGATTAAAAATGTCTTTGATGCAACATTTAAAATGTTGTGAAGGGGGGGTTAAGGTAAATATGGGGTTTAAATAGCTGAAAACTTTTAGAAACGTGGTTGTAGCGTCAAGTACTTTTATGAGTGTTTGTGCTTGCGTGAGTTTGTATAGAGATTATGCATGTAGCCTAGCAGCATACTGTATCTCCCACAGAGCCTGAGGATGATGGCAGTGGCAAGCAAGCAGATATTAAGTTAACACTGATTAGTATTTCTCGTGCACACGCTGCTTTTATTTATCTCGCTTCCCTCCTCATACACATCTTGCATGCTCCTAATTTTTCATCTTTCTGTGTCCATCTCTGTTTGTTGTCCTCGTTATTAGCTGCATTGCTTTTTATAAGTACACTGAGAGCAGGAAAAAAAAAGACTCAAACTCCTTTTATGCGTACACTTTTTCTTTTCACATACTTTTTCCTGCTTTTGTTTATTCCCCTTCTCCCTTTTGTTCACAAACAGCCCACCCTCTTTTTCTGTCACCACTCTGCCTTTCTTTCCTTGTCATATATGCCCACCATCCTGCCATCGTTATCTTTTGTCTGTCTGTCTTCATCACCGCAGCTTCTCTCACTGTCTGGGCTAATCCCCAGAAAAGCAATAATGCAATATGCTCGTATATTTTGATATATAGACACTCAAACGAATCAATCTTCATGCGTTTGGGGGGGGAAGAATTTAAAGAAAAGAGTGGTTAGAATTGGCCCAGCAGAAATTGAAGTATCCTGATTCAGAACCTGATATTGTTTTTCTGTACTTTTATTATCTTTGGTTGATCAAAGTCATTTAAAAAAGGTGCTGCCCCAACTACGTAATGAGTAAACATTGTGTAATTGGCTCAGTTTGTTTGTCTGTTCTCAAACTTCACAACAATATACCAGGCCCTGGAGGACCAGAGTACATAGGTTAGCTGAGCATTTGGCTCTGCTACTTTATAGCTAGCACCCAAGGTCAAAGTTAACACTGAAAACTTTTTTAACAAACCATACTGAGTAATATATCATATGAAAGGGCATGGAGAGAGCTGTACAACACACATTAAATTTTTTCAATGACACCATAAAATCTCAAGTTTTACAGCCAGTTTTAATCCAATAATATGGTTAAAGATAATAAAATACTCCATTTTAGTTTGTAATGCTTCAAGATCATAGGTCAAAGGTTAGACATCAGCGTGTTGTTGTGAAAGCAGGCTGACGTCAGCATCATAAAACATCAAAGTTTTAGTGTAGCCTTTGCCCCTCGGGGGGGAAGGTTGGCCTCAACATGAGTTGACTTGTAATGCTAAATCTTTCACTGCTGGTATACTAAGGCTGTTATTAGATGTCCCCAGATCTAGATTAAGAAACTTGTTTCACTTTAGACAGTATCTTGTTTTAGGCTTCCTGGGGAACTGAGGGGTTTCTGTATATTTCATTGAATCGTCATTCAATTTTTTAGCTGTGAAATTGTAAATGTGGTTCTTGAAAAGATGTACTCTGCACCGCTGTAGAAACACTGAATCACTAATAATGAATGAAGCGGTGCAGCAGCCATGGTTGATGATCCCACATCAGCAGTTGGATAAATACAGGCTCCTGAAGAACAGCCTCTCATTGTGCCAGTCCCGCAAAATAAAATAATTGCAGCCCTCTCTGAATTGCCTGTTGTTTTAGGAACTCAGTACTAGACTGTGAACTAAATGTAGTTTTGCCTTTTTTTTTAATTCCCAGAAAAAGCCTCTCTCAGCCATCATTAAAGAAGTATGCGAGGGGTAAGTCTTCATTTGCTTTTTTTTTTTTTTTTTTAATGTATGCACTAGTTCATGTCTTTTGGATTAGAATTTAACTGTCCCCTACCCCCATACTTGAATTCTATTTGCTGTTTTTAATGCACTTTTAAACCAAGTACACAGTGTATTTTGTCTCTATCCAATGCCTTTTAGGTGGTCCCTGGGGAGCCCTGAAAACTTTGCTCTGCAGATTGCTGACGCGACAAATTTCTACATCACAGAAAAGGTTTGCTCATCTGCAAAGCTGCTGTATCCAAGAGGGGGATATAAAGGCCTGAAGTGCACACTAACTTCTGCTTGTGTCCTTGTAATCCTCCACAGAATCGCAGCGACATTAAGAACGGCTCGATCCTTCGTTTGACCACTTCTCCTGTAAGTGTTTTGCCATTTGAAAAAGCAAATTCTGTGAATACGTATGAAATCGTTCACAATCTGGGACACGTCCTGTTTCCTTTTCCCTTTTGCCCTCCAGTACCAGACGGCAGTGCAGCTTCATGAACGGATCCAGTCATCAAGCATGGACGCCAAGCTGGAGGCTCTTAAGGACCTGGCTAACGCGTCCCGGGATATCACCTTTGCCCAGGAGTTCATCAACCTCGACGGTATCTCGCTGCTCACTCAGATGGTGGAAAGTGGGACTGAGTAAGTGAGAAGAAGACTGTTTCTTTTGCTGTTTGGATTTGCCTTGTTTGCACCGTTTTCCCCTGCAGCATCTTTTTTGTTTGTGCATGTGTGTTATAGGGAGCAGGGAAGAGTACACACTTCCAATGTTTTCCTCTGGATTTTGGATTTATGTGGCAATATTAGACTTTGACTCAAGAATGTGATCCATCAAAACTAGCAAACACAGACTCCAGTTCGATGGGATACCTAATTCAAATCTTACCATATTTAATTTCACATATCGCTGACATTATTTTTCACAGGCCTGATGTAACGAACCACAAATTTGTAACAAGACCCCGGCGTTATTTAAAAGGGCTGCAGGTTTGGATGGTATTCAGGTGGATCTCCGATTTCAGTGAGAATAAAAGGGGATCTTTGGAGTTGCACTGTGCAGTCTGACCGGTTAAGTTCAAAGCATTTACAGCAGCTGACTGGCCGCTCATTCACTGACATTCCTCAGTTCACTCTGTTAAGCTGGATTTATTTTACTGGTGTCTCGTGTCATCGCCATCTTTGTGAAGATGCCTTTGATGTGGAACGCTTTTATTTCAGCGTGCTGTAGAGTTGTGCGGATGTTATTAGGTCATATAGCAAATGTCATTATATGCACTGCATGAAATAATCAGTCGTACATTTGCGCTGAATGAAAACCCTAACCTTGTGCATAAGTTTTGCCTCGGGTTCAACAATGCTACCCTGTGCTGCAAAGAGAAGAACAGGTTCACACAGTGCCCAGCAGCTCCTGTTCATCTTTGGTGACCATGATAGTGATATTGCACACAGCTGAGAGGAAATACTCTGCCTTTTGCATGTTCAGCACATCCAAAAACTCACAGTGTGTGTTGAGGTGGGGGGTGGAGGGCAGGCGTAGTGCCCTGGAGACCGTCTCAACTGAAGGTTAAAGCGAGGACTTTTTTCGCTGAGGTGAAACTTCTCAGCCGTGATGCCAGGGGAGGGGAGTGGGCGGGCGAGGGAGATGGGGTTTGTGCCAGTGGCGTGCTGTGGGGAGTGCAAAGAGCTCGCCAGAACCAAGAGTTGAATTACAGTATGAGTGCAAAACGTGCACGCAATCACACAGAAGTAGATGGACGGTGCAAACTGGCAGGGAGGGCAGGAGCGGCCAGCCGTGCGAGACGTGCTCGTTTTCTGCTTCGTGCAATTCCCATTATCCAGCCCTTCTTTTTCCAGGGGGAGAAACGATAGATCGAGGAGTTGTTTTGCACCTAATGCGTGGTTATAAACACACGACATTCAGCGTGTCCCGACAGAAGAGCAGTGAAAACCCAAAGTAAGAACTGCAGGTTTTTTGTGCGGGTGTCGTCTTGTCACGCTCATGATTGCTTTTAAATGAAGGTTCAAATTCTGGTTAGACATGTAATGGCTTTTTCTTAGCAGAAACCACTCAGTGATCTAGTGTTTGTGGGTACAGCTTGACAGGAAATCAGTGAGGCCTCTTCTCCTTTTTGAATATGATGTTCAAATTAGCAAATATTTGATCTTAATGCAAGGAGCTGTCACAGCAGCACCGAGGTTCCTCCTGTTGCTCCTGGCCCTTTGATTAAATATGTTTTTCATCTAAATTCCCATCAAATCCTATTCAGGGCTTGAGAGTTTGAGCGGCGCGTGTAAGCAAAAGAGAGCAGGGCGAGTGGTTCTGCTGCTTTTCCATCTCAACAGAAGGAGCTTATGAAACAGGCATGCAGATAGGTATCAGAGGCTAATGCACACACTCTCTCTCACACACACACACACACACACACACACACACTCATTAGTGTGCCTGCCAACCAACTTGGTGAACTGTAATTATTCAAGAGGCTCTGTGCTCGAGACTCATGAGGGCAGAGCAGTTCTGTGATCTGATGCTTCTGCCAAAGATGCTGCACAATATTCATGTGTAGATCAGCTGCCCAGCTAAACTCCAAGTTTAAGGCAGACATTGCCCTCTACTGACAAAAACATGGAGCAACTCATACTGTGGTTTGACACACGTTCAGAATGTACAGTGCAACTTCAAACTGATTAACACCGCCAGACTTACTATCAACTTCGGTCTTCTTTGACCAGGTTTAACATATGCTGCCACCTTGATATTGTCATTCATGTTTTTTCTGTTTTTGTCTTGTTAGCTCCCAGCATAATCTTGGCTGTTAAATTCACAAAACCTGTTCTAAACATTATTCCATTGAATTGTACCTTATTAGCAGTGTCATCCCTTTGAAAACTGGATTTACAGAGTAAAAGGAACACTGATACTGAAATCAAACTCCACTGTTAAAACAGTTTTTTGTTTATTTTATCAGGTGAAATTAAGAAGTTCTGCAACTCCACCCATTAAGAGCAAAAAAAAAATGTCCCTTGTTTAAATCCCATGAAGGTTGTCTCTTTCTGGACCTGGCCCTCGTTTCCAGGGCTGCTGCTGTTTGTAGATCGCTTCCAGGAAGTCCCGTTCTGACCAATCCTGTTCTATCAGATTTCTCCAAATTAACAGTCTGACCCTGAGAGATGAATTCATGGTGAATTCACTCCATACCCATGTTTGCCCTCCTGTCTCAGTGCATGCTTATCAAATGTCTTTGAGCTATTCAGCTAGTCTAGTCTGAGACCTGGATCTTCCTAGCAGTGATGATCCACGACATAAAGGTTGAATCAGAAGAATCAGAAGCTGAAGTTTGAGATCCATGCTGAAATCCATGCTGAAATCCCAGAGCCCAGATGCATGTGGTCGGAAGCAGACTGCCAGATCTCTGAAGCAATACAGAGGTGCACATGGAGACAACCTCATTCATATTAGCTGATTTTTGCACACATGGGTAGTATCGCTGAACTTCATGAGTGCACCTGTCATCTCGAATCTATTCAGGGAAAGTTAACTCTCTGCAGATGTTGCTTCCTTTTGCTTGTTTAGCGTAAGGCATTTCTCCCACTGCACCTGTCACATATTTACAAGTTGGTCTCTGCTTTTTGAAATGTGCAAAACTCCGTTTCGTTATGCTCACTGTGGCACATTAGGTCTGCAGCAAGCCGCTTTGTCAGCCGTTTCTGCTTGGCATGCTTTGAGCACCTTAGCGATCCAAAGTGTTTATTTTGAGTCGGTGTATTAAAGTTGTTTATATTGAGACTTGTTTTACATTTGCACAGTAAGGAATCCTTCTTCTGTGTATGAGAGTGGACCTCCTTAGAGTCTGGTCTCTTTGAGGGATGCTTATTGTTAAAAGATTGTGATTTGTGTTGCTCCCTGCTGAGACTTTAAGGTTTTGTTGTGTGTTTCCCACCTGTGACACCTAAGTTTCTCTTTACAGGCGCTATCAGAAACTGCAAAAGATTATGAAGCCATGGTAAGCCCCTCCCATCCCCCCGGGTAACGTCATTGACTCTGTGCTCTTCCTAACCTGCTGCCTGAGTCTGCATGATGAAGACTCTGGCCCCAAAGCCTTATGGGGAATTACTATAATTATGTGTTTAACACAGCCATTTACAGGCTTCTGTTTTGAAATCAGTTTTGCACTTAAATTTTTATTTTTTTTTGCATGTGGTTTTGGGCAAAATAATCTTCTTACGTCTTTGCCTCAGACTGTTGGAAGGCCATGATTTATTTCTAAAAATGTAATGCCGTGAGAAATCTATAAAAACCCGATCAGATATGGCTATGGCCATTTGGGGTTCAGCGGAGCTAATTTATTAGTTTTAGTCGGTGCTTACATTGAATTAAATCTTGGTCTTCTTTCCTAAATAGTGCTCAGGGTGAGGGGGATTGTCTCTGCACTCACTATTAGACTTCAGCTACTTTTACATTATTAGCCAATAGCACATCACACATGAAGACATCACACATTAGGATCATCATCCATCTGTCAAATAAGATTTTCTTCTCTTTCTTTATCTTAAATAATCTATCCTCTAATTTCAGTGTTCCTCGATTTCATTAAGCATTTACTAGTTACAGTAACTACATCAAAATGCCCAGTACCATCTGCAAAGGCCTCTTCATTCTTCAGCTGTGGGTTACTAATGACTGTTACTAATCATGTACCATGCAGCAGTACTGACCCGTGTGCTGAAAGCATTTCTTATCATTTTATCTTCGGTTTCTGGTTTGCTGATTTGACGGTCGATGCCACTCTGTTGTGTTTAAAACGGCGATCTTCACTTTTGTAAAAAGTGTATCTTTTTTTTTCTTCTCGATAGAAGTTTCAGGAAAGATGCCAACATTTTTTAGTCAAACATTTATTGTATTTGACTATAGCCTCATAGGTGTTTGCTATATTTTCATGTTGCATCTACTAAAGCACCTAACAGTAAATCAGTGTAAGATAAACAATGAGCAACACGTTTAGGCCAGGTCACAGTATTTGCCTGAGCAATGCCAGTTGTAAGCAGTAGAGGTCAGTACTGTAAAAGCTACTGGTGAAACTAATAAAAGGCCAGAAATCCCAAAACTCATGTAAAAGTTAAGTAGAAAGGTAATGAAACTCCAGAAACTCCTACTGCTGTGATTTATGAGGAAGTAAAAGCTTCTATATTTCATCATTTGCGATTTTTTTTTTTTTCTCATTAAGTTCATGCAGCAGAAATATGAAGTGGAGGCTGTTTAATGTGGTCCTTGCTTTGGCCCCCTGTGACTCTTGCAGAGCTGATTGATTTCTCTTGATATTTGTGTAACTGCATGACTTCACTCTATAACATAGCTTTCTGGTCCTGATTGAACGCCGCCCTGTGCTGCCCGGCTCCTGCTGATTTTCTGATGGCCCCTGCTGTTTCTCGAAGGCCAGTTTGTCTGCACTGCATCTCAAGCCTCTGTCCCCATTTATTCTTCTCTCCCCCTCCGCCTGTCTTCTGTCTTTCTTCAGCCAGCCTGGTTGCGGCATTGAATTAATTTTCATATGCACCATTTTCTCTGTTTCTGCCTACCGCTCGCCCCTTGTTGCCGTCCAAGCCATCAGGGCTTTGCAGATTATACACTGCTCCAAGCCATCTGCTAGAGAGAAGCGTCCTATGGTTTGCGTGTGTCTCTGTGTGTCCTGCCCTTTAGTTTTGGAGACTTGCTGTCCTTCACTTTGACGGCCTTTGTGGAGCTGATGGACCACAGCATCGTCTCCTGGGACACTTTCTCTGTGGCATTCATCAAGAAGGTCAGACCAAGAAAACGTTTCATTAAAGGCAGCCCTGATTTATTAACGGCATTCAGAGTGCTGTTGTTATTCGCTGAATAAAGCTTTGATCGAACATTTACATCATGACATTTACAGCCTCTGCAATGAAGCTTGTCCTATGATAATGTCCCGAAGCTCAATGTCTATAAAAGTGTTTGGCAATGGTTCGATTTTCAGGACATAAACATTAAAGGCAAAAATACTCATTATGAGATGTGTGTTTAATTTTTTCCCTCATCTCAAAGTGTTTCTATTTTTTTTTTTTTTTTTTTACCTTTGTGACCTCTATGAAATGTGTTTTTGTAAAACATGTTTGCAGAGTTTGTACCTAAGTTTGAATTTAAACTTTTAAAAGTTATGAAATCTTTTCCATCCTATTTTTCCAGGATCCTATTGCCTTAATTTTCAATCAAAAATTGCTATGCAAAATTTAACCGTGTCTGCGACAGATCCTCTAAACGCTTTGCCCTGTTTTTTTTCAGATTGCCAGCTTCGTGAACAAGACGGCCATGGACACGGCAGTGCTGCAGCGCTCCCTGGCGATCCTGGAGTCCATGGTGCTCAACAGTCAGGATCTTTACCACAAGGTGGCACAAGAGATCACCATTGGACAGCTTATCCCGCATCTTCAGGGGTACGTGAACGAAATTCTTCTTTTTTAACATTAATCGAGCTCGCTGGTTTCTGAAAAGCTTCATAGTGATAAATGCCTTTAACCTCCTATTTGGACTGTGTTTTAATCACAGGACTGATCAAGACATTCAGACCTACACTATAGCTGTCATCAATGCTTTATTCCTCAAAGCTCCTGAGGAGAAGAGACAGGTGAGGCTGCGGTGCACGCACACACACAAATACACTGCATATACTGTATCGTGCATCATTTCATGTTGCAGTCATCAGCATTTTTCAACTCTAACAGTGTCTAACTGTGTCTTTTGTATGCATCCGGTGTGCATCTGTATACGAAACTATAAAACATCTGCAGTGTAGTGCAATAAATAAAACCTGAGTGTAAAGAAGTGCTACCATGCTCCCATTTCTCCAGTCTTTCCCGCACACACACACGCTCTCTCACACATGTCACGCGTTTCCCTGTAGCTCATCACATGATCCCTTGCCCCAGCATCATAGGGTCCAGGGATGCGCTCTGACATTAATAATGAATGATGCTAACACAGAGCCTTTCTCCTGCGCAGCGCACAAAGTTGAAGGCACGCTAGACCGAAACGAGCTTCGCCGCAGTGCTGAAAACAGACTGCGTGTGGCTGTTTATTATCAATTTAACACTTTTTGTCACCGATCTTGCTCAGAGAAGATGTTGTGTTTTATAAGACTCTGTTTAGGGGACAAGCAAGCTGTTTCTCTTTTAGCTCAGGTTACGTGTTTGTGTTATTTCTGCGAACAGGCCGCTTTTAAAACGTGGGGCTGTGGGACCACAAACTAACACTAATCCTGATCGTTTATTTCAGCGTGATGCAGAAGATGCGAGGTGCTGGCTGCACTCTTTTTGTTTTGTTTTTCCTCTAAGGTCAAGAGTGTTTTGTGTGTCTGTGTGCATGCGTTAAGGACTCGACCATCAGTAGACCTATTATTACAAACCCCCAGACTGTCCCCGTTCTGCTGACTCTGTTGCCCCCCACCCCCCTTTCTCCCCTCTCGCCACAGGCTGCTCGGCTGACAGAAAATGTTTTTTTTAACCTCCTCTCACACTTTTTTTTTCTCCTCCACATTCACTCACTCACTCACCCTCTCTGTCTCTCTGTCTCTGACTTTGTTTCTTCACTGCACACGATATGGTAGTATGATGAGCACATTGTGGACATCCTAAATTGTCCCCTGACAGTAAGTGCACCCTTGATTAGCACCCTTTGTAGTTTGCACTGTAGAAGACAACAGTTAGTGCATTTAGTATCCCTTCTTAAGTTCCTTTTTTTCGGATGGCTTTCTTACTTTTTTAATTAATTAATTATGTATTTTTCATTTTTACCCGTCTTAATTCCTCATCGTAGCATGGACAATCCTAAGACGCTTTGTCTTGATATGGCGTTGTGTCTCACTCTCTCTCCCGCTCTTCCCTGTTCCTCCCCACTGTTCTTTCTCCCCCTTTAGGAGATGGCCCATATTCTTGCCCAGAAACAGCTGCGCTCCATCATTCTCAGTGTAAGTCTACCCATACCCTTCTCCTCTTTACCCCTCCAGTGTCTTCCTCTGTCTCCTCCTCTCTGTCTTTGTCTCTCCCTGTTGCTGTTCGAGTTTCAACCTCTTCTCTTCTGTAACAAAAATGACCCCTGCCACATCTTTCTCTGTTTCACCCCCTTGGTCGTTATCTCTTGTGGATACTTTTTCCACACCTGTTCCCTTTTGTCTCTTCATCATCTCTCTCCTGTGTGAAATCTCATTCTCCGTCCCCTTTTCCTTCATCTGCCTTCTAATCCTCGCCATTCACATCCAAATCCTCTTATTCCTCTTTGTCATATCTTGTCGTCCTCCGGCATAATCCACTTCTCGCCTTTCTGACCCTAAACCCTTTCCCCTCTCCTTTACTTTTCCCATTTGTCCTCTACGCCATGCAGAATGTGATCCGGAGCAACACGCCCATTAATGATGAGATGGCACATCAGCTGTACGTGCTGCAGGTTCTCAACTTCAACCTGCTCGAGGACCGCATGATGACCAAGATGGATCCTCAGGACCAGGTGTGGAGTGGGACAGTCAATCAAAACGGGTGGTGGTGGGTGTGAAAAGGGAGGGAGGTAGATTACCATCAGATTTGCATATCATCTGCAGCGGCTTCATTTCTCAGCTCAACAAAGATCCCAAACAGACTGCTAATACGTTAAAAGCATCCCTGAATAGAAAAACACTGTAACGACTGGATGGATCATAGACTGACTTTCAGGTTCGTTGGAATTGTACAAACTCTGTTTTTGCCGTATATACTCTGTTACCATGTGTGTTTGTACCTCTCCCCCCATTTTTACAATCATTAATCTTCTGTTCAGTGGCTCGTGGGTTGTTTGGGCTGGAAGCATCCAAAATAATAATAATTTTGGCTCAATATTTAAATCGGGGAATTGGCTACTGTCCAGATTGCCTAGGGAGCTGCGAGACCCCAGACGATGGAGAATGAGGGTGAAAGATTTTAAGACTGTAAAGTGGTAAATGGAAGAAAAGACTGATGGGTTTGTGAGCAGCGCTTTAACATTCCTCTCTGTGTGTGCAGGCTCAGAGAGACATCATCTTTGAGCTTCGGAGAATCGCCTTCGACGTAGAGTTGGAGCCCAACAACAGCGGCAGCATTGAGAAACGCAAGTCGATGTACACCCGCGACTACAAAAAGCTTGGCTTTATTGTAAGTCTTTTTAGAGGGCTTCGTTAATCCGCTTCCTCTCTGATGTTATCCTCCTGGTAAAAAAAGCTTCTTTTAAACATATCGCAGCTAGTGCAATAACAGGCTGTATATCAAAGATAAACAAAGCTGACATGATGTCACCCACTGGTTTGCAAACTTCCTAAAGTTAATGATTTTGGCTCCTGTGGTCTTTGAAAGCCACATATCACAAGTGAAGTGGAGATCTCACTGAGAAACTGAGGATGTTCCACACTTACACAGGATAGTCGTGACCCAAAGGTTACTGATTCATCGTTTTGACAATGAAAAGAAGAAAAGGACTATCATGTTGTATTAACCTGTGACTATAAACTCATCATGCTTATGCTTTGGCTTTGCTGTTCATACCCAGTAGCTACGTTTTTTTGTACAGCCTTGGATGCAATGTACCAAAATAAGTATAGTATTGTGGAATGTGTGTGTTCATGTGTTGCTTTTGTGTTGTATGCAGCAGTCTAACTATGGCATAAGAACTTAAGCAAAGCCACTGTGGCTTGGTGTAAGCCCAGAGCCGTTTCGGGGCTCTTCCCATTCACACTCCGACTGCAGTGTGCTCAGTAGAGATAAGGCCAAATTGGCCTGTCTTGTCTCCACTGTGTGGAGAAAACCCACCCTAAAAATCCTTAGTCTGCTTTCAGTGCACCTCAGTTTGCACAGACACACACATACATACTCCGCGTGCACACATATAAAACTCATCGTTCTCTAGATCAGCCTTATCACTCCTGAGAAAAGTTGTTTACCTTCTAACTTCTATGCAGTAGATATTGTTGGACATGCTGGGAGATTGTTCACATTTGATTAGATATGCATGTGCCACGTAGTCTATTTCTGGTTTAAGCCTATAAGTCTGCTTGCTGTCAGGCAGAATTACAAAACTGATGAGCCAGGTCTCACTGTCCTCCATTTCTCTTTCATCCTCCGCTTCCTTTACTCGTCTTCCTGTTGCTGTCCTCTTCAGTATTCTGCGTCACATTTAAAAGTCAAGAAGATTCTCGGAGTGACGCGTCTTCGCGTGTATCTGTGCATTTAATTGTTAGTCGTCTGCAATGTCTGGAAATAATTACGTCTGACAGACTTTCAGCACAAACGGTTTCTTCCTGCATGTCTGATGCAATATTTAGATGTTAAAAGTAGTGCCTGTGTTTTTGTTATTTAAAAGTTTTGAGTCTGATTGTTGAATATTGTTGAATATTTTAGTATAAGTTAGTATTTCATATTGTTCCTTCCCCATGGCCCTTCGCTTCCAGTTAGAGTTACTTACTATATTTCGAAATTTACTTGAGTTTAGTGTCGTAACTACGATATCCATCTCCAAAATGTCAACTTTTAGCCCAATAATCTTTTGCATTTCACCTACTGTGGAAGATATTTTAAGTGTTTATACACTAGTAGAAGATATTCAGACTCTCAACAGACAGATATATATATAAACACCTAGCAAGGCTTGGAAAACAACCTTTTTAGTAGTTTCCATTGTAGTAGATCTTACAGGGTATCAGCCATGAGTGTGAAGATCATGTATCTGTTTAATAATCAGCGACAAGTGGTGTATTTTTTTTTACTTAACAGATTTCAAGTGGGCAGAGCTCTAGTTTTAAAAATAAAGTCTGCACCAATTATAATTTTGCATTATTTTAACCTAAATCTAATTACAGTGGGTTATTTGAGACTGCCAGCCTGCTGCGAATAAATCAGATCAATCCACACCCACACACTCCTCAGTACTTTTCTACTGTTTGTTTAGTGTTTTTTTTTATTAACATTGTCTTTAATGGAATCAAAAGCTTTGAGGGGCTTTAAAAGGATGACCTCCTGCTCCACTAATGCGGCCCTAAAACTCCAAGTTTCCTCCCTGACAGAAGGAGTGTTTATGTTGTGCATGTGATCCCTCAGCTGGGGGGGAAAAGGGGAAATGGGATGTTTAATTGATTATATCAAAGAGATTAAAGGTTAAAAAGAAGATTTGGTGAAATGTGTTTAAAAACATGTCTCACACTGCACCTCTGTTTTTCTCAGAACCATGTGAATCCAGCTGTGGATTTCACCCAGATTCCTCCAGGCATGCTGGCTCTGGATAACATGCTGTACTTTGCCAGGCACCACCAGGACGCTTACATCAGGGTAAGCACGCACGTACAACCCTAACGCACACACAAATGCCGCACAGAGATTCCTGTAGTGTCCTACAAAAGCCTCACTTCCCTCCAGCTCATTCAGTCACTGAAGTTTCTGGCTCGTTCTCAACACATCTTTCAGTAAAACTGCATTTCACGAGGTTTCTCAGCCCTGACGATAAAACGTATTTAATTTCTTTCACCGCCAGTCTCTAAACAATGCTGCACTGACATTAAGTGCTTTTTGTCATCCTTTCATGATAGCCAGCATGATTTTATACAGCTTTCATCATTATGTGTGTGACGGTTTCTAGACACGATTGTGGGAAAAGAGAAGCGTTAGTGGTGCCTGCTCAGCCCTTATCAGACGAACAGTGGGAGAAAACACAGCCTTCAATTCCACAAATGAAACTGTCGCCAGCTAAAATGATTGGGACCTTGATGGCCTCGGTTATGGTGTGCTGCCACCATCCACGTAATTAGAGTGGGGTTTTTTGCTGATGACTTTTATGTGTAGATTTAATTTATGTTAATCCACGAGCTCTAAGGGGTCAGATAAGGTCAAGAAAAAGACTTATAGTTTCTACCTCAGTGTTTATTAGTAAAATACCTTCAGTGTGACATTGAACCCTTTTAAAAGGGTTTAAGGCCCCTGCACCTAATTAGTGTCAAAAATGCAATGCGTGCTAATGCTCACCTGTCACTGCAGCAGGTAGCTCTGAATGTTTGATTTTACACCGGATAGACTTCCTGACACAACTCCAAAGGGCATTTGTTTCCCAGGCTGGAATTAAACCAGCGACTTTTCGCTTTTCCAAGTGAATCTGCTTTAACCAAACCCAGTAAATGCTATTAATTCCTGTCAGTTAACCTGTCAGAGTGGAACACAGCGCAACATTACAAATTATTCTTCACATAGAGCTGGGGTATCAAACATAGGATCTGTGGGCCAGAATCGGCCCAGCAAAGACTCCCATCCGGCCCCTTGGATGGCTTTGGAATATACGAAGGAGGACATAAATTATGGCTTTTCCTACTGATAAAAACACCACTCACTGCTATTCATTCTGCACCAAAGTAATGAAGTAATAGATTAAAAAAAAAAACCGAAATTACAGTGAAAAATCATGAACTTTTCTATCAAATATATAGAAGCAAAAATTAAAAGAAACAAAACAAAAAAAAATAATTTTTCTGTAAATTAGGAAACATTCAGTTTTTTAATTAGTCTGAGCAATTTGCTTTTTTTTTTCAGCCTTCGGGCAACACACTCACCAGAAATGTCTTTTTTTGTTTTATAGCCCTGAGGAAATACAGTCCTTATTTCTTGCCTGGCTTATTTTATAACCTCTTGTTTCCAGATTGTCTTGGAGAACAGCAGTCGAGAAGACAAACACGAGTGTCCGTTCGGCCGCAGCAGCATCGAGCTGACCAAGATGCTGTGCGAGATACTGAAAGTGGGCGAGCTCCGTAAGTCTATATCAGCAAACGCACACACACACACACACACACACACACACACACACACACACTTTGCACACACTTTGCACACACTTTGAATAAAGACATAAAAAAACCCAAGATGCTTTACATGCAGAGATGCATATAGTTGTGTGCAAGAATACAAACATCCAGAGACACAAGTACACACAGCCCCTAACTGTTAAGATGAAAGCAACCATTATGCCCTGTAATTGTGCTGCCAGGAGTTCATTATTTAGTGATGCACCTCGCCCCCACGGAGCCCCTTTTCAGCCTAATATGCCGCCTCTGGACGGCACACTGCGCAGAGAAAGAGACGCTGTGCCTACGTCCACTTCAAATTGATGTGCCCTTTTCATCTGTCTTTACTTGTTTAAATAGCTGAGCTGGTCTCGGTTCCAATCCAGACTGACCCCTGCTGCTGCCTGTGGGGAGGAAGGAGGCATTTTTAGCTCAGTTTTAAACAGATCTGCCCTTTTCTTCTGCTTATATTCTTTTTTTCCAGAGGAGTTGGCTGCAGTGCAGGTTTTTGTTTTTTTATACTCTTGTCGGAAAATTGTCCCGATAAAAGTACCAAGCTAGGATTCAATACCAGATAAGAAAGTGTGGAAACACTGCTTTTTTTTAAACGTATTGTAATTGCCCTGTCTATTTTAAACATGCTCTTATCTCTGCCAGACTGAGCTCTAACGCTACATTTCTATCCCCGACTTTCCTACCTTGGTCACATTCTGCCTGCTCTACTTTTATCCCGCGAATGACCTGTAGACACGTCCTGACCGGGAGAGATGGGCTGGGTGAGTGCAGGGCACCGGTGGTGTGTGAAAACATGCTGAGCTTTTAGTTTTTCATGTTTCAGTGATCACTTTCATTCTACTCTGTGTTTGCCTGATGATTCTTTGCAGCAGATCTCTGGGTTATATTTATATTCCGTGTATGTCAGTGCTCTTTTTTTTCTTTTTTTAAATCCAGTGCTTCACTCCACGTGCCCTTTAGGCCTTTTCTCTTAGCAGACTGAAATTCTTCACTTCAGTCTCTCTTAGAAATATCAGTTTGACCTCATTCGTACCAAAATACAGATGAAACAGCCAGACTTGTCCCTAAATAGGGAAACATGTGTATCTCTAAGGCTTTTTCTAAGCTTCGAATTGAAGGGCTTATGCAACAGAGCTGGATCCCTGGGATGAATGCCAGACTGTCATTATAAATAAAACTTTCTGTTTTTGAGAGACTTTCTCCTTCAAATACAGTCCAAATTTCCCCCCCTCCCAAAACAAGATTTGGGATTCACTTTGAAATGTAAGAGCCGTGATGCCAGCTTTTGAACTGTGCACTCATAACGAGCCGGATGGTCCCTCTCTTCTTTAGCCCGAAGGATGCGACTAAGCTGATGATACTGTTATGTTATGACACAAAAAAATTCCCCTCCAGGACCGGATGCCCTAGTTGAATTATAGCAGTGACCTTGACTCGTACTTTTCAGCCTTTCAGTCCCCAGTGGCTGTATAATGTCCCCTTTACTGAGGGTGTTAGTCTGGGACACTGAACATACCATTAATATTTATGATGCAGCAGACTGTGTTTATGTATTTGTGAAATGGGAGGGCAGATAAGAATTGCAAAGGTGAACCCATAACCTGCAGAGAATGACCGATCTATCTGCGATATTATGCTCTGCTGACATGATAACGGCACATACGCCTGGTTAAAACATGACACGATGGCTTTATACATAAGTAGGCCATCGTTGGGTACAAGGTTTTAAAAAAAATGGATGTAGAGGGAATGAAAGGAAACAAGGCAAACACTGGGGACAGGAGAGAAAAGACAACATTTTGATATATTTTTATTTACTGAGCTCTAAATCTTAATCTTCTCATCCATCTCCGTCAGAGCTCCAGTAAATATTTGCTCAGTCTCACACTCTTTGAACATTGTATGAGTCCAATCCTTATGAGAGGATGCCACTGTGCCCCAGAGTACTCATAAGCTGCATTGCTTTTCTCCTGTAGTGAGCTAAGTGCATTTTCATACACACCCCATTAGCCCTGTGTATATTAACACACACTAATGAACGTACGAGTAGGACAAATGTAACATGGGCCTGGCAGGTGCTTAGAGAGTGACAGCTAGTCATTAATAGAGTGTGCGTGCGTGCGTGTAGCACTTTCCCCAGAGAGATGATGGTGGAGAAATGAGTCTTGGCTCTACACTGACATCATTTGGTTGACCTTTCGTTGGAGAAACAGTGAAATACCTGACACTAATGAGGATGTTAGAACTTTTCTCTTTTTATCAGCTTTGATGGTATTTAAGCCAAGATACTGTTGTGCGTTGTTCCACCAGTAACTTAAAATGTAACAGCGACGTTTCTCTTTATTGTAAGAGTTTGTACTGTGGAAAAAACTGTCTGTTTCTTGTTCACTACAAAAAAGTATGAAAACTAAGTCATGGATGAATAAATCTGACTCTTGACAGTTTGGAGGGCGGAGCCCAAAGGCCCTAATGTGATTGGTCACTTTCAAAGCGGTGACACCTCCACCTCTGTAAATGACAGACCACAGTGGTGCTAGAGATGGCAACGTTGTTTGGCCAGTTGGTAAACAGTTTTGGATAGGGCATCTAACATAGGTGGAGTTGCCATAGTAACATCACCTATTTAATTTAGGACTTACATTTTAAATTAAGTCTGTGGCTGTGAACATTTTTTTATGTTGTTGTTGATGTTTTGCTACTGTGTATTTTGTACTATGCTATTAACACGACACATTAACGCTAGCAAGTCTGGTTAGTTCTTAGAAGATTAACTGGTAGCTTGAATGTGTTTGCTAAATGTCTGGATAATTAGATGAATGGGTTTCAGATTTTTAGCGCTGACTTGCATCCTGCTGTCAAGATAAACTGTAAAAGCTTTGTAAAAACCTTGTTGAGCTTATAAGTTTTTATGCAGCCCCATCGCTACAGCCCAGTAGTTCAATCAAAGACTGAAAAACATGAAGAAATTTAGTAATGGCTGGTGTTGTTTTTTGCCAGCCATCTACATGGTGATGCTTTTATTATGAGTGTGCTGCTAAGCTATTTCACCACTCATCTCAAAGCACCACTCTGACTCCTGTAAGCACAGTTGCACACGAGCTGCTGGAACGTCTGCATCCATCACTGTAAAACAGTAACTTAAATGTTCTTGTGAATAATGTTCCACCACACAGTCTTAGTGCTGCAGAAGATAAATAAGAAATTGATACACTGAGAAAGCTGTACTCCCTAAAACTTTGATGCTACACGCTGATGCAAAGCTGCAAAACAGGAAAAAAGTGTTTGCTTTTTTTTTTCTTTTTTCTTTTTTTTAAAAAATCTGCTCTGTATCCCTTTGTGGATAAAGGCAGAAGAAAGAGACCGTGGATTAATGGTGACAGCAGCGACGTCTCTGTGGCTCATTTTCTCTCTCCATCTGTGTGAAATGCAAGTATGGCTCTGGCACGCAGACGCTCTCTTCTTGTTTTCTCACGAGGATGAAACGCGGAGGGATTCTGGATTTGCCGGGGCCTGCTGAAGTTGCCTTTCTTCCCTGCTCGCATCTTCAAGCGCTTTCATTCTAACCACATTTTTCTCACTTTTCTCAATTTTCGTTCTTGCTTTCATGCATCCTCCTTTTTTTATTTGTCCCTCTTGGTGTGTCTGAAGAACATCTGTCCCGCTCAGACTTGTAGTCCTTTCTCCTGCTTTTATGGTCTCGGTTGCTGTCTTTTCCCATGAATTTGACAAAAATGGCACAAGCACACCAGAAAGTAGCATTATACCATTGTCTAAAAGAAATACTATATAATCCACTCATGAATCTGCAGTGATAGTTTTCTTAGTCCTCGCTCAGGTGAACAAACTTTCTTTTATTCTGTTTTTCTATTTCACTCTATCCGTGTTTTGAGACCTTATAGTATTTTGCCTTTGTTGCTGTTGTTCAGATGTCACTGTACATATTTGATCTGCACAAAGGAGGCAAGCTTATATCAGCGCTGATAGAGCCTACATAATTCATAACAGCAGGTGTCACTCTCTGTCCTGCCTCCCAGTCTCTCTTTCTCAATTACTTCCATTAATACATACCTGTCCTGGCTCTATTTCTCCATTTCTGATGCCTCGCTTCGGATCCTAAAAGATTAATTGTCCCAACAGTGTTTCTGCTGGAACACGGGGCCTAATGGAATCTGTGTCTTTGAGACGCCGAGCCATGACTTCTCTCTCCCCGCTTAAGCCGGCCCATGGAATATTTATGAAGTTATTTAGAACAGGCCAGGCATGGTGAGTAATGGCCCTGCTTGGTGATTCACGGTGTGTCGTCTCTGTGCTGAGATGGAGAGCTGGGTGGTGAGGCATGGCGGGTCCAGGTAGGACGCACGCATGCTAGCAGACACGGATGCCAAAATCAAAAGGAGACCAAACCCCATTTCTAAGAACACAGAGAGAGGCAGACTGACGGTCACGTGATGTTCTTCAGGTTTGTTTCTGTGTCTTTCTTTAGAAAGCCATCAGCCAAGGTCAGAACAAAAGGCCGTGTACAGCACTTTGGTCAAATTCACTGTACATTTCAGCACATGAGCAGCATCGCAATAAGGAACATTTACAAAATTCTCTTAATTCAGTTTTGTTGTTTATATCGCCTCATCTGTGTATCTCTTACTTTAAGCAAAAATTTATTATACTGTTCATATATTTGCACCGCCTTCTAATATTCTAATAAACTCTAAGTGACGCTAGTTAGAGAGTAACGGGGCTGTTGTGATACATATGGCTAGTTGAGTCCAGTCACTCAAAGGTTTGTGTGTGGACTTGTGTGTATGTAGTATGTCCAAGCCCAGCAGGTGACTCAGAGTCATCCAAACTCATTAACCTCCCCTGCTGTTACCCAAAAAACAACACACACACTTCCACACATACACGTACAACCCTTGAGAGGTAACACAGTGTGAGATTAAAAGGCTGCTATGTGT